CTGAGAAGTGGCTGCTGGCAGATCCGCCTTATGAGAAGTAAAGGAAGTTCTTCAGGCTGAAAGCACACGACCCCAGACGGAAACTGAATCCACACGAGGAAAAGCAGAGTGCTGTTAAGGTAAGCAGGTCATTGTATAAAGCAGAGCAAATGTATAGTTTCCTCCTGTGTTCTAATAACTGATTTAAAAAGCAATTGTATAAAATTACATAGATATAATGTAATGGCAGGCCTATTACCAGTGGAAATGTAATACATGTGTGATATTTTCATCAACAACGGTACCAAGGAAGTGGGTGGAGCAGAGCTGGGCTGGAGGAATTGACTACAGGTGGTAAAGGAAGCACGATTGCAGAGTCCGCTGAGTTTGCAGCATTACTATTGGTCATGTAAGTAACATAATGCCATAAACAGGGGAAAAAGGAATAAGCCCACATGAGATTAATGTTTATGTGCATCACTGGAATTAAGCTAGTATAAATCTGAACCTGACTGTGATGTTAAAACGTAAGTGGTAAACCCTAGAACAACCACTAAGGAAATAACTTTAGAAAGGGTAAAAATCATTAAAGAATTCATAATGCTACATGAGACAACATTCACTTAACATAAAGAAAGCAATAAAGGGAGAATAGAGGAACAAAACAGACATAAGAAACGTAGGAAACAGGAAAAATGAGATGGCAGATATAAATCCAACGATATCAACGATAACGTCAAGTGTGGATGAATTTAACAAGCTGATAAGAAGGCAGAGATTGTCAAACTGGACGAAAAAAAGGTGATCCAACTTGCAGCTGGCCATAAGAGGCACACTTTAGATTCAAAGGCACGAATGGACTAAAGGGGTGGAAAAATATACTATGCAAAGAACAAGTACGGGAAGGCTGGAATGGCTGCACCGATGTCAGACAAAATAGGTTTTAACACAACAAGTGTTATTACAAATAAAGAGGGATGTTTCATAATGATAACAGGGCCAATCCATCAGGAAGACATAACAATTAGAAACGTATGTGCAGCTAACAACCGAGCTCCAAAATATATGAAGCAAAAGCTGATGGAAGGAAGGGAGAAATAGATGGTTCTACAGCAATAGGTGGAGGCGTCCATACCGCACTTTCGATAACGGATGTAACAACCAGACGGAAGTCAACCAGGAAGCAGAAGGCTTGAGCCACACCGTAAAGCAACGAGGCCTACAAACGTGCTTAGGACGTGCCACCCCGCCACAGCGGGACACACATTCCTCTCAAGGTCACGTGGAACGTTCTCCAGGGAGGATGTTTTAGGCTATAAAGCAGACTCGGCTGTCCAAGGCCACCACACTGGACGGCAGTGCGAGGGGCTACGGATGTGGGCAAAGATGTTTCAGACGGTGATAAGGACCCGGGGAAGGGGGGCAGGTGGACTGGAGGAGGGCTCTGGGCATTGGTGGGGGTGAGGCTGAGACTCAGGGTGGGTGGCAGTGAGGTGGGGGAGGGGGAGGGACAGCAGGAGCCACGCTGAGAGCGGTGCTCAGGGGAGGTGACTGACTGATGACTGCAGCTTTAGACCTGGTGGTGGTGCTTGGAGTGTGTGCTCGGGAGACAAAGGAGGCCCCTGCACCGTTCCAGGGAAGAGGGGTGGATTAAAGAGCGATTTCACAAGTAAACGCACAGTGTAAACTTCCAAGCCCTAAATCCATGCACCTCTAAGGACACGTCAGACCGAAGCAGGACGTCCGGAGGGGCTGACACAGGTGTGCAGCCCCATCTTTCTCAACTTCAGCCACGACCTGGAGATGCACTGCCACTGGCTTTTTGAAAACCACCTCAGCTAAGTTTACTTAGAAGTAAATACCCTCTTCACAATTCTGATTTTTAACTTCATGCCAGTCTCCACCCTCTGGCTAGCTGCCCCCGTCCCCAAGCACACCTGCCAGCGCCTCTGTTCAGTCCGTGTGCTTCTTGCTGGCTGCAGGAAGAACGCACACCTGCCCCTTATAGAGGATTCAGATGCCCAAAGTGTTTCCAAATGGGAGAACGTTAAGCTGGCCACTGCCGGGCTCACCACGTGGACCTGGCGAGCACAAAGCATTCACGTGCAACCCGCAGACGTTTGAGGTGATTTTCACCAGCAAGAAGTGGCACCTGGGTGTGCGACTGAGGAACAGGAAGAAAGGGTGGGCCGTGGCCCAGCACCTGCCCAGGAGCCCCTGCCAGTGCAGTGTGTGCATGGAAGCTGCCTCCCTGGAGGCTGGAAAGCCCCAGGCCAGGTGGGCCAGACGGTCCCCAGCGGGGCTCCCAGGGCGGGGGACAGAGCATCCCCTTCAGGGCAGCTCCAGCCAGGCCAGGGCTTCCCAGGTCCTCCTGACCAGGTCCCGGACCGCCCACGTCACTGAGGGTGGCGTCTCCATAGCAGTTGTGCTTAAACACAAAAGCCCGAGCAACTGCAGAGTCTATAGGAAATATTAGGCAGGGTGGATGGATTACCCAAGTGTGCGCCAAGAGAGAGGATTTGGCATCCGAAGCGACTTTGAAAATGGTAAGCTTCTTTGGGTGTATTTGCCCCAATAATCCACAGAAACAACAGTAATCTAAAAATAGTCTTGTTTTCTGTCCTAAGCTCCTTTTAACTTCGTTAGTCATCACCCATCCTTAAAATAAAATCCGTGTAACGTCTCTCCTAGTAGCAGCTATAAACACACTTCGAGAGGAGGCCCGAGGAGCCGGAGAGGCGGAAGGGGAGCGCGGGGGGCCGCGGCCGCGGGGGTCGGAGGCCCGTGGTCCCGCGGTGGCCGCAGGACCGGCCCGAGGCGGACACGGGGGCGCGCTGGCCGCCGAGCTGCGCCGCCGCCCCCGGAACTCCCTGCGCCCTGGCGCGCGGCCACCGTGGTCCCGGCAACGGAATTAAACAGAGGGAAACAGACGGGGATTCCGTCACCCGGGCGGGGGAATAAGGGGCGCGTTGAGAGCAGACAGGAAAAGAGCTTTTCTGGATGGAGTGAAAATTATTTATTGGAGGAAGAGGAGAAGGGGCAGTGGCGGCCAACAGCCCCCAGCTCGGCCCCTCTGCAACCCAGGGGCGCCCCCGGCCCCAGGGGGTCCCGCGGGCTCCAGGACCGGGAGACGGTCCCGCGCGCGTGTGAAAGCGCGAGAGGGGCGGACGGGAGGGGGTGAGAGTCAGTCTTTATTTTAATACAACTTTCCACACCCCCCTTCGCCCCCCGCAAGGACTCGGCCCCCTCCTCCTGGCCGGTCCCGGTAGTGGGGCGGGACCTCTCCACGCACACTCTCCTGGCGGAACCCTGGCACTCAGGTCTGGGGACACCAGAACGTACAGCGGCCAGATCATTTTAAAGGGAGGGGCGAGGGAGGGGCGTGGGCGGCCCGACCCTAGCGCCCCCTGGCGGCTTCCGGCTCTGTTGCACGCCCCGGCCCCCCCGCCCCCCCGCCCCGCCCCCGCCCCGCGTCCAGCATCCTTGAGGGGTCCCCCCCCAGCCTCGTCGTGCTCGCGGGGTCCCTCCAGCCTCGGTGTCCTGGCGACTCCCCCGAGCCTCAGCATCCTTGCGAGGTCCCACTCTTAGGCCTCCAGCCTCCTCGTGGGGTCCCCCACCCCCAGCCCCGGTGTCCACGCGGGGTCCCCCCTCCCTTTGCCTGGGGCACAAGGCGCGTGCCAGGCCGGCTCTCGCGGTGGGAGCAGACCCACAGGTAGTGGCACCCGAAAAGTGTCCTGACACCCACCAGACACCCGAGGGGAGACCTGAGCCGGAAGAAGGGATTTCAGCCCTGTCGGGTCGACGCCGCTGCGATGAACCGATAACCGGCAGCGGTGACGCGGGTATCGCCGCCGCCGGGCACCTTCTTACTGTTTAATATCGCGCCCAAGGGGCAGCGAAACACACAGATGGGGGTCAAATGTCGCACCCCACTTTCCCCAGGTCCCGGGCGTGAAGTCGTTGAGGGTGCCCACCCGCGCGACCTGCAGGCCTCCCGGTCCCCGCGACAGACAAGTCTTTTGCTTTGGGTTTATTTTAAACCACATAGGGTGTCGTGCAATAGATTTATTATTTTTATACACCAGACATTTTAACCGCCCGAACAAACACTCCAGTCCCTTCCCTCCAAGGCCAACACGAAACTACGGTCCCGTTTTGGCCGCTGAGCCGCCAAGGAGGAGAAGCAGCAGGGTCTGAAAGAGGAAAGTGTAAAGTGAAACGGGCCGGTTGGAGAGGTTTCCCCGAGCGCCGGCTCTCGGTTCTCAGACCAGCCCCCGTCGGTTAGAAACCCCGAAGTCGCGCCCGTAAACCGCCCCTGGCCCTCTGGGGCGGGCCGGGTGCCGGCGGCTGGGAGCCCGGGGAGGGGCTCGCGATTCTCCAAGACACCCCCTCCCCCCAGCCCGCCATGCAACAGGCAATCTGGGTCGCTCAGATATTTACAGGAGAAAAATGACAATAACTCCACGTCCCGGGACTGCCGTGCAATCTGTTAGTAATTTAGCGGGATGGGAATTTCCTTTCTCGGGCCTGCCAGTGGAAGCGCTTTTCCAAATTTCCACAGCAGGGAAAGCCTGCTATTTTACATAATGACTTCAGCATGCAGGGCCCTCTCGGCACCCGCCTCGTCTCCGGCCCCCCTCCCCGCCCCCTCATTAAAGCAGAGTGTGGCTCTCTCAGGACACCCGCGTGGACCCAGGCGTCCGGGCCGGGCCGTGCGCCGGGTGCGCCCCCGCCCGCCCCCCGTTGCGCCCCGCGGGCCGGTCGAGCGGCTGCCCGGCGCGGGGAGGGGCGGGCGCTCGGCCGCTGGTCCCCCGGGCCCAGCGCTGGCTCGGGCGGGCTGGGGCGTGATGTCACGGCAGGGAGGGGGCGCGGGAGCGGCCGGGCCGGCGGGGAGGCGGGGGAGGTGTTTTCCAGCTTTAAAAAGGCAGCAGGCAGAGCGCGGCCCTGCGTCAGAGCGAGACTCAGAGGCTCCGAACTCGCCGGCACAGTCAGTCACCGCGCCGGGGAGGGCGGCCGGGCGCGGGGACCGGGGCGCGGGCGCACACCTCCGAGCCCCCGCCGCCCGTCAGCCTGCCGGGTTCCCGGGGCCGCCGCAGCCCGGACCCGCCACGCGCGCACACGCCCCTCACGACGCTTCTCTGGGGCGCGCGGCGCTGAGCCCGGGCCGGCGCGCGTCCGCCGGGGGAGAGGCGTCCTTCCTCGGGAGACCCGGCCCCGCGCGGCGGCGCAAGACGCCCGCTCCTCCTCCCGCTCCTCCCGCCGCCGCCGCCGCCGCCGCGTGGATGCCAAGTACCAGTTTTCCAGTCCCTTCCAAGTTTCCACTCGGCCCTCCGGCTGCAGTCTGCGGGAGCGGAGAAACTTTGGGGCCCTCTGCGCCCGCCGGCGGCACCATGAAGTCGGCAGAGGAAGGTAAGCCGGAGCGGCCGCAGACCCCCGCCGCGGCCCCCGGGGGGCCCCCCGGTCCTGCGCCCTGAGCCCGGCGCCCGTGCGGCCCGCGCCCGTCCGACCCACGCCCGGCGGGGTCCCGGCCCGCGGAGGGGCGAGCAGGCCGGTCCAGGGTCCGCGCGCAGAGAGGGGCGCGGGCGGCCGGGCGCGCGGCGGGCGCGCTGCACAGATTGGGAAGCGGTGTCCCCCTGGTGTTTCCCCAGAGCAGCCCTGATTTCGTGCGCGCCTTCTTGCCAATAGGTGTCTCCTCTTCTCTAGCGCTGAGTGCGCGCACTTGGCCTTCGCTGGTGCAGCCTCGCGGCTGCTCCGGCTATAGAAACTCAGTTCAAATGCAGGCGGCTGGGGGACGGGGCGAGGTTAGGGCCGTCAGAACCACGAAGGAAGGACACTTTGGAAAGCAGCGAGGTTTCTCTGGGAAAGAGGGATGGCCGGTTTCTTCCCCCGTGGGGCAAGGCCCCAGGAAGACCAGCCGTACAGTGAGGTTGCGGGGGGGGGGAGCGGTGTTCTGCGCCCCTCCACGAGCTCAGTCGGTGGCAGATTCCTTCCAGGCGCTGGGCCCCGCGAACCGCTCCGTGTGGCGCTGCCCCGCCGGTGGCTCGACCCGCAGGACTAAAAGCCATCAAAGGAGCGGTCGGGCACAGCCCCTGATTCAAGACAGTTTGCAGCCTTAGAGACTTGAGAGTTCCAACCGTAGATGTTCCAGGACAGTTGGGAAAGAGACCGCCGAGTTTCAAGCTACTTGTTCATAGTCACGAAGATGGCATAAGTGTCTGCCCTGCCCTGAAGGCTGGTGATGGCGAGGCCGCCACTACTGACGGTGCGCTTGCGACCCTCCCGCGTGCGGTCTTAGGTCCACAGTCCCCTCACCCGCACCCTCTCAACACCCCTCCCACCCCTGACCAAAGCAGCCCAGAGTTCCTACGGCGTTCCTGAAGGTGTCTGAAGATAGCCTCCGAAAGGGGTGACGAGCATCCTCGTCAGGGACCACGATGGAAGCTGGGAGACACCTTTCCAAACGCCGTATCAACCCTGAAGTACTTTGTCTAAACTATTTTAAGAAAACTGCCTAGCCTGCCAGTGCACGATGAGTGCTCATACTTCGTAGGGCAGACACCCCTGTGGGGAGTACTAGGAAGTAAATGCTGCTGTCTCCTGCACGATCTAATAAATGTGACGGCCCCTCTTGCATTACAACTGCACTTTTCAAAGACTGCCGGCTCGGGAGAACTTCCTTCTCTTTAGCAAACGTGAGCTCAAGACCATACATTCAATATAAGAACATCGGTATGGGGTCAGTGTCTTGATGCCTTATGTTATTTCTACATATTTTCATCAAGGGAGGAAGATGTATCTCATGTTTCTCACCATTTCATCCCAGTTTAGAATATGTTGAAATGTAAACAGCAGGTAACGTTTACAGGACAAGCTCTTACTGTTAAAAAAGTTTTAAAAGTTGTCAAGATTTTAATTTTACATCCTTGACACTTATTTCAAAGTTTTTTATCACTGCTTTTTAAAAATGTGGGTCTTTCAAAGTTTAGGTTTCTTTACTTCAACAGTCGGTGGTCTGTCTGCGATAGAGAATCTTTTTTCTCTTACAAGAGGAAAAGGCATCTATGGGGGTGGTGGTTATCTTTCAGGTTCCAGCTTAAGAAAATACATTTGAAGGTGTCCCTGCTAAGAGGTAGCACGCCAGGCGTGATGATGCCCTTTGACTAAACAAATATTGGTGTATTTATAAGGACCACAGAATTAGGCTAAACAGAAAGTATGATCTAATCCTTCATATAGCCAGGCACAGGGTGAGAGGCAGGGCCTGCAGGTCCACGCCTGCCGTGCTGAGGCCTTCCCCCGCAGGCCCGACTGGGCTTTAGTTGCCCATGTGAGAATCTCAGGGATTCCCCAGCGCTTCCCTCCAGTTTAGTGAGCATGTGGTCAAGGCTCACTGGGCACTGCTGTTTGGGAAGGCCCTGTGCTCGTTCTTCTGCGTGGGGAACGCAGAGAGATGCAGGCCTCGTAGGTACACCCACCCACCCATCCAGAGGTTGTTCCACACAGAGTGCCCGGGGCTCTCCAGAACGGAACAAAGCCTGCGCTGTTCTCCTGCCACTTAACTTCGCGGCGTTGTTTCCTAATCCAGATTAGAAAAGGCCCTGCTGCTCTGTCACACCCAGGGCTGGAGTTCTGGGCCCGGTGCACACCGGCAGCCTCTGACAGGAAGCGCCAGCTAAACGTTTCCATCAAGACGGGAGTGTCTGCTGAATTAGCAAATAGCTCCAAACCATTTACAAGACGAAAGGCACGGGGGTGCTGGGAAGAGGAGCAGTTAAAACACGGCCACCCTATCCGGTTACCTCGGTGGGGGATCTGCAAGTAGGTGGGGATCAGCTCGGCCTTAGGATAAAGCAGACCCAAGTCCTGACCCCGAGGGGCTCGGGTGCACCCGGAAGGGTAAACCCACTTTCTCCTGGACAGAACAGTTGAGTGAGAAGTTTTAGTCTAAACAGATGGTAGAGGCTGTTGTTTGTGTGTAAATTTTTGGTGGGGGTGAGAAGGTGGCTGAACTTAAAAAAAAAAAAACCCGAAAAGAGAGAAAATGAAATGTTGTGGCTTCTGAACGGAAAACAGAACTTCCATTTGCCTGAAGGTCAGCAAAAAAAGCAAACTAAAACAAAACAGCCCTCCAACATACATCTCAAAGATAGAACTATTATTAGAAACTAAATCAGGCCAAAGTGAACTATAGTTTATCACTGGAGAAAACCAGCGATTTGGAAAGGGTCATGAGAGGGAAAAGGTTTGGGGGAGGGGTCACGTGATTCCCAGGTTACCTGCTTCCGAAAAAAGCAATCCCCACGGGGCCAGAGGGCCTGCGGGGCAGAGAGCAGGACTCGTTTGATTAGCAGCGGAGGTGCAGAAACGGACACTTGTGCACCCTCCTCCTTTCCCACTCGACTACCCCCGCGCGGGTCATCCTCAGCCTCTCACACCGCCGTCTTGGCCACCATTCCCTTGCTCTTCCAGATGCTGGTGTCACAGGGTGCCAAGATTCTCGGGCAGTTAGAACAAACACCTGGGAGAAAGTCCTGGGGAGAGGTGGTCCTCAGGCGGGCCTAGCTTCTTATACTGCTGTTGTGCGGACGGGCTGCTCTGTGTCCCGGCCTTGGGTTTCACCCCCTACCCCCCCCGGAACTCTCCCTCAACCTGGGAAAGTTTTGGAGTCACTCACGGGCGGCTGGCAGGCTACTTGTGCGCACACAGGCGTGTGCACGCGTGTTTCAGGAATCTGAGGGACTAACGTGAACGGGGTCCCAAAAAGGAAGGGGTGCCAGCTGGGCATCAGCCTGCGAGTGGAAGGCCGCGTAAAGCAGCCCGGCCTCAAGGTGCGAAGGAGAGCGCGCTCCCAGCCCCAACCAACCTCCCACCTTCCTCTTTCGGGCTCTGGGGGCTGGAAAACGGTGTTCCCTGTGTTCGTTGCTCTTCCGCAGCGGGTTGGGGAAGAAAACTGCTGCTTTGAAAGCGAGCCCTGCGGTCCAGGGAATTCTACTCCGGGCCCTGGCTGCGGGGCTTCGGCTGGACGTGCGCGTTGTAGACTCGGCAACAACCGAGACGGGCTGATCCTCGTCCTACGAGGGGCCAGGCAGCTGGGAGGCCCCTCTAGGCACGTTCAGTAGGTTGGTGCGGCGTCAGCAGCAACTCGGGACGCAGGTATTGATCTTCGCGACCCGCTGCCTCCGGGTGCAGCCAGCCGGCACCGCTAGCGGTGCCCGCCTCCCCGGAGTGAGGCTGCAGGCGGGCGGGGGTCCACCGCCGGCTCCCGTCCTCGCCCGTCCCCAGCCCCTGCCCACCCGGCTCCGGCCGCAGGGGCGCTCGGGCGGCGGGGCGGACGGAGGTGGCTGGACCGACCCCGTGTCCCCTCCCCCCAGTCCCCGGCGCACGCGTATCCCCCCGAGTGCGGACCCGGGCGGCACTCGGGGGTCTCGCTCGCGCGGAGGGGCGGACCCCGAGAGCCTCCTGGGGGCCCCGGGCGCGGGTGTGGGCGCCGGGAGCCGGGACACCAGTGAAAGGCGTGCGCTCCAGCTCGCGGGGAGAGTTTATTTAAAACTCGGAAGCCGGCGGCCGGCAAGCTGCTTGTTTATGTAAACCCGGAAACAGCGGGGGGAGGGGCGCGGCGGGGGAGGGCCGGGGGGAGGGGCGCGAGCGGGAGTCACGTTACCCGAGGACGCGCGGCCGAGCGCAGGGCGCAGCAGAGCCCCGGGCGCCTCGACCACAGGTGCCCGCGGCCGGGGCCCCGACCCTGGACCCCGACCGGACCCCCTCCAGGCCCCTAACCCCGACCCCGACCCCAACCTGGCATCCCGACCCCGACCCCGACCCCGGACCCCAGCCTGACTCCAGTCCAGCACCCCGACCCAGGCCTTGACTCCTGACACCGGACCCCGCCCGACTCCAGCCTAGAACCCGACCCGGGACCCCAACCAGGTCCCCGACCCCCGACCAGACCCGAACCCCGAATCCGATCCCACCCCTGACCTCCGACCCCGACCCCGGACCCCTGACCTCGGACCCCGACCCTTTGATCTCTGACCCCCGACCCAACATGACGGGGCTGGAGGAGGACCAGGAGTTCGACTTTGATTTCCTCTTCGAGTTTAACCAGAGCGACGAGGGCGCCGCCGCGGCCACCGCAGGTGGGTCCGCGCGGGGCCGGGGCGCAGGGAGGGGGCGCGGGGCCTGGCGGGCCGGATCCGTGGCGGGAGGGGCGGGCCCGGAGGCGCGCCGCGGCTCCCGCCCCTCTGCCCCGGGGCGCCCCCCAGTCTCCCTTCCCCGACCCCCCCCGCGGCGCCAGGGGCGGGGGCAGCGCCCATAGCCTCCCCAGCGGGTCCAGTTGAGGGGCGAGCGGGGTAGCGAGGGAGGCCCCTTTGGAGTAGGCAGATCCCCCGGCCAAGTGTGCTAGGCTAGGG